ACACACACACACACACACACACACACACACACACACACACACACGAGGAGACAGATGCCCCTGAGAAGCCAAGCTCATCTCTCCCACCAGAACCAGCCAGCCTCTGTCCTTCCAGAGAATTCGGCTTTGCCAGCTCACAACTCGCACATCAGCCTCCTTACCATCTGGACATCCTCAGCAGGAGGCCTCAAGCGAGCAGGAGTGTGGACGTCCCAGGAACACGCCCAGGGGTCTCTGATCTCCTCTGGACCCGAGTTATCTGGACAGAATGGGGGTTCTCCCGACTGCTGGGAATTCTGTACACTGGGCGTCACTTTCTTAAGAGCAGTGCTTGGGGGTGTTCCTTGTAGAAATTGTCGTGCTGACACTTCGTTACAATCCAGACTTCCCAAGCTCTTGGCTTGATTTTTCTGGCGAGATTGGAAAGGTTATGAGTAGCGTGTGGTCACCCTGCTGGCAGTTAAAAAATCAGAAGCACTATAAACAAAAAGGTAAACAAAATGGAAATGAGAAATGACACAGGCCACAAACATTTCTGATCTCAGCGCCATAAAATCTCATCATGATTATATTCCCCTTTGGTCTTGCAAGAGGAAAGCAAGGCCACCATCTGCTTCAGGTACCGCACGTTAGTGTTTAATTACCTGCAAAGCCAAAAAGATTCATTTATCTAATTCAAGTCTATCGATGCAATTTGAAGTCTTTGCCCTCTGGGTGAGTCCTCTTTTTAATAAATCAGGGTAAAACACACATAACATAATATTTACCATCTTAACCATTCTTACGTGTCCACGTCAACAGCAGCGGTAAGTACATTTATGGTGCTGAGCAATCACTCTCCAGAACTCTTTTCACCTCGAAAAACTAAAACTCTGTCCCCATCAAAGATGAACTCCTCGTCCCGCCACCCCCCAGGCCCTGGTGATCACTATCTTACTTTCTGTCTCTGTGGATTCGACTCCTCTAGAGACCTCATACAAGTGGAATCACACAATCTGTGTCCTTCTGTGTCTGGCTTATTTCACTCAGCATAAAGTCCTCAAGGTTCATCCACGTTGCAGCAGGTGTCAGAATTCTGTTCCTTTTTTAAGGCTGAATAATATTCCACTGCATGGAGAGATCACATTTTGCCTGCCCATTCAGCCCTCTGTGGATATTTGTGTGGCTTCTACTTTTTGGCTATGGACAATTCTTTTGTTCTTTGGGGACAAAGAACAAATGTGTGGGACACACCTGGTAATAATCCTTCATTTGCTTGTAAAACCCCTTCTTCTCTTTGTCATCTTCAGGAGAAAACAAATAAGTGTCTCTAATTTTTCTTTATTATTCTAGCTTCTACCCATTTCTCCTCCCCTATACTTAACTTTAAATGTCTCCAAATTCTTTTCACTATGGAGAAGTGAATGGAATAGCCAATACTGTTTGCCTGGAAATCAAGGCGTCCTAGGACCTCCCCTTCCCATCGTTCAGTGGAATTTCTCTTCCTCCGCCCCAGCTTGTCGGGTCTTTAGACAAAGCTCAAAAGTCTTCTCATTGCGTACACCTCTCCGCTCCCCTCGCGTGCCTGGTGTTTCTGCAAAGCTCTCATCGTACTGGGATGGCTCTTTCATTGCCCATCCCAGGCCGAGCCCGTGCACAGAGCAGAGTCACAGTACATGCCTCACTCTGGTAAGGAAGGAAGATTTCTAAGTTTGCCTAAACACCTTGAAATATGATAATCCAAAGTACATGTGCATTTTATGTGATAGAGGAGCTCCTTTCTGAACGTTAACATTCAAATTGCAATAAGAAAATGAATGTAGAATTTAAAAGGGAGATTGCTCTTTAAAGAATTCTGTTGTGAATCCTTTTACCAAACAACTGTGCTCTACAATGTAAGCCTGAGGATTTATTTACACTTGCACGTCTTTGGTTTTGAAGAAAGTAGACTGCAGAGAGTTCATAGTTAACCCGACTCCCCATCCCAATGGGGATGCTAAACCCGTCAGCTTTCCTCATCCTGTAGATGACAGTAATTAATGTGTTTTTCCTCTGAAATCCTATTTTAGCTGTTTCCTCTTCAAACTCCTCCTATTTTGGATAGTTCTTTTTCCTACCCTATTGAGATAGTTTAAAATATGGTTTCTTTTTTCAGAAATATTGGTAATATTTCCTCTGGGACGGCACATTCTGCAGCTTTAATCTCTGCTAAAAGGCTACTGGGGAGTCTGTGCTTTTCCCCAGGGCCGGAGGGCAGGAAGGCTGAGATTACCAACCAGTAGCTCCCACGTGAAGTATGTTATCTCTATCTTACTGGCCGAAATATGAGGTCGAGTGGTTAAAAGTCAGATGATAGGGAAGGAGGCAAGAATGCTAACTTTTAAAAAAATCACCAAATACTCCTTCTTATAGTTTCAGTGATGCTTGATGTTTGCTTTTACAGTCCAAAACTTTTTCACACCTTTGAGCCAATTTTCTTCACTGAGATAGTCCAACAGTTTCTGGATAGATCTCCTGGCTCATCTTATAAAAAGTGTAACTAAGCTTCCAAAGTAGGTTGGTCTAGCCCATTTCTCAATTCCATGAAGGGAATATATATATATATATATATATATATATATATATATATATATATAGATTCTCTATATATTTCACCTAATTCAAAAAACTTTTAATCTTACCATGCTTCCCCATGTTGCTTGAATATATACACATACATGTATATATATATATATATATATATATATATATATATAGTGCGTATGTATATGTATATACAGTGGTGAAATCTGTGAATTCATGTCACGCAGTGGCTCCAGCACTACGTCGGCAGTAAAGACAGTCTGTGTCTCCCTTGTGTCAACACTGACCTCCCTGGTCTTCGCTTTATCCTACCCAGACCTTCAGGCATTTTTAAGAAATGGGGAATGGGCACACATCAAAAGTCCTTTTGAAAAAGGAATTGCAGATTTTTAAAACAACAAAGAAAAAAGCAACAGAAATGAGATATCTATCATTTCCCCCTCCAAAAAAAAGTACAGATAACTTGACTGAAATATCAAAGAAGGCAAAAGTCTGAGAAAACCTGCGTCATTAAACTAACACAGCACCAGTGGCCTATGGCCACAGCTGTTGAGGAATCTGTGCCGGATGTAATGCAGATGGGCACCAGATTGTTTATGAACCAGTTGATATTATGTCTGAGATAAACTTCAAAATAATTCATTTAGAAAAATATTAATTGCCAAAATTGACAGAAGATGAGGCAGAGTATTACAAAAAACAATAACCACAGAAGAAACTGAAAAGATACTTGAAGATTCTAATCCCTTTCTTACCCTGTACCCCAAAAGTACCAGTATTAGGTGGCTTTGTAGGTGACCCATCAAATTTTGAAGGAATAGAAAATTATTTTGCTATTGAAACCTCTTTAGGATATAGAAAAATATGAAACATTTCTCATTTTATTTGTGGAATAATTCATATTCTCACAATTGATTAAGCTATTGACCAAAAGAAAAACTACAGGAACATCTCATTAATGCATATGGATGAGAAATCCAAAGCAAAATAATGATGAATCAAGTCTAGGACTATATTGAAAGAATAATATACCGTGATCAAATAGGGTTTACTCCAGAAATAAAAGTGAATCTAATATTAGGGTATTTATCAGTTTGGATCAGTGGATCAAAGGACAAAATACATTTTGTCATTGCAATAAATCTCCCAAATACATTTATCTAATATTGATTTGAACAATGTCTATTTCTTATAAAACTTGGAATTAGCAAGACGGTGCCTTAAAATTAGAATATGTGTGTGTGTGTGTGTGTGTGTGTGTGTGTGTGTGTATTTCATATATATAATAAATAATGGCTTTAATGACAGTACACTTTTGGAAGAATAAATAGGTTTTATCTCTCCTACTCACAGTTTTGGACTGGCTTCAAGACCCATCA